AGGACTTCATGAAGTAAAACAACCACAACAATGCATGGACAACCATGAGGAGCTCCTCTGAAGCTCAGAGCTCATCTCTTCTTCTGTTTTTACGTGGAAGCTGCTGGGCGTCGTTGTTGATGTTGGTAGCCGCTCTGATTGCTGACTTCATGGACGTCTCGATCCAGGCGTGAGGTAGAGCCGTGTGCTCACCAGCAAAGTGGATCCTGCCTTCCCTCCTGAACAGCTCCTTGGCGTACTCCTGGTGTTGGTATGGTGTGAAGAGAGCGAAGGCGCCCAGGCTGTGAGGATCCAGACTCCACTTCTTCACCACCACACCGGTACAGAGAGATCGGACACGCTCACCGTGGATCTTCACCAGATCTGTGAGCGCTATTTCTTTCAGCTCTTCATCAGACAAACCCAGGAAGAGGAGGGAGTCATCAGACCAGGTGTAGGAGGCCAGGAGGACGCCGATGGTGTCGTTGTCTGGGAAACCGTGGCTCGGATAATAGATGAAATGAGACGGCCCGTCAGTGATGCTTTTCCCTCCTCTGATGCCGTCTTTTTCCCAGAACCTCTCACTGAAGGTGAGGAGGATTTTGGTGGAGCTGTCATAGTGGACTGCCCTCAGGGCCTCCATCTTATGGATGGACAGCGGAGGATGGAAATCTATCAGGAGGGCTGCTTTAGCCGTGGTCGTCACCAGGACAGCGTCTGCATTTATTTGGCTTAGGCGGGGCCGTTGATCTGACTGGTAACTCACAATGACGCCACCATTTGTCCGATTGATTTGCTGAACCTTGGAGTTCAGGAAAATCGGAACATCGAGAACAGAAAGAAAAGCTTTGGGGAGCAGGTCCGAGCCCCCAGTCACCTCGTAGTACCTTTAATTCAAAAACAGTGGTATTAGTTCTACTTCTTATACTTTTATACTGTTTAAAACACAGATAGGTGGGTTTAGCGTGTGTTTGGTCTCACATCACATTGTCACTGATGTCTGTTTGGTCGTAGATCATCTCAGTCAGGGCGGTGTACATGAGGCTCTGCTCATTAAGGAGTTCTCCAATCATCCTGATGGCTTCATGACTCAGACCTCCTTCTTCTGTCAGATATTCCTGGAAAACAAGCAAAGTTCTCCGTTAGAGCCGGTTCACGCGGCCGGACTTTCAAATTGTTGGATGATTTTCAAAATCCAGCCCACACGGGGTGATAGAAATCCTGGATGCACCAGTCTGGGTCCCACAGTGTGTGTTATGTGGCAACACGGGCTGAAAGATGGGAGATGGGAAAACGCCATCAAACCTTTCTCTGTCAACATCTCCACCTTAAAGTGTTTTCTTTGGTTCAAGTTACCCACCAAACGACATTTTGGTGGCACGTATAATGTGAACAAATAAACTTTTTTCTTACCTTCACAGAATAATGTTCATATTTTTTCAGGGCAGCACGGCAGCCGTGAGCTTCCACTTCGTCCCTCACCTAGGAAAAAGAATTATTATTGCAGTAAAGGTCATCCTGTTGGTCATCTACTGCACCGTGATGACAGTGAGCAGTGGCTGTAGGTTCCCTTAGGCAACATGGAGTTTTCCAGACAGACCAGTTCTTGTAGTCCAGGTTTAATGTGTACTTGGTAAAGGGCCTTAAGGGAACTCTTGCAGCGATAAACCATATAAACAAACTGAGTTGAATTATTTTAGATCTGAGAGCTTTAGAAAAGCTTCTAAAAAGGCCAAAAATGGATGGAATTTCTTTTTGAACCCGTCTGGCTTCGGACTTCACCGTTTACTACTGTAACTCTCTTTTCACGTGTCTGAGCAGAGCCTCCCTGAACCGTCTACAGGTGGTTCAGAATGCCTGTGCTCGGCTTCTGACCAAGTCCTCCAAACACACCCACATCACCCCGCTTCTCCTCCAGCTTCACTGGCTGCCAGTCAACTTCAGGGTTCATTTCAAGATCCTGGTTCTGGTCTATAGGGCCTTACATGGACAAGCACCATCTTACATTGGTGATCTTCTTAGTCCCTACACCCCCAGCAGGTCCCTGAGGTCCAGTGATCAAAGCCTACTGGTTGTGCAGCACCAGACTAAAGGTCAAAGGTGACAGATCATCTGCTGCTGTGGCCCCCAGACTCTGGAACTCTCTCCCCCTGAGCCTGAGATCAGTGGACTCAGTGGTCTCCTTTAAAAAGCAGCTGAAGACTCACTTGTTCAAACTGGTTTTGTATGACCTTCTTCACCTCTCTCTCTTTATTCTGCTCTCCCCACCTTCCTCAGGATCCACTGATTTCCCTCTGTTCACTCTCTCTCTTTCTTTACATTTTTTAATCACAATTGTCTATTTTTGCTCATTTTAAATATATTTTTAAACATTTTGTAAATTCTTTTTTATATTTTTACATTTTTTGCTTTTGTGAAGCGCCTCGTGATTTTTATCTTGAGAGGCGCTATAGAAAATATATTTTCGTCTTCTTCTTTACAATCATGAGTGAGCCTAACACGCAGATGTGTTAAAGGACTCTTTCCACAAAGACCAGTAATCACGGTTCTAACACAATGCTGCTGATGGAGAGACTAGTGCGTTATGTTATGGTGTTGATAACTGTATCTTCAGGAAAACAATAAGAACATTTTAATTCCCATCTTAGATCCGCTGACGTCAGCTCACCTCCATCCGTTTCTGATGCTAACTGACCTTCTGTAAAGCTTGCTGTAGCAGCTGATCGGCCGACATATTCCTCTCGCTCGGCGCCACGTTGTAACGGAGGATGTTTGGATTTGCTCTCACTGCATATGTCCTGTGTCTCTGTCTGTTTACCAGGTGATACGTGTTGATGTCCTCCATTATGAATTTGTCAAGCTTCACTCCCAGGAGTTCAGCAAACCCACGGACGATGCTGTTGACCAAACATTCGACAATGTCTGAGCCAGTTGAACTCCGTGGCCAACAGATGGCATTAGACACCAAGAATATTCAGGATCACAACAATATTTTATGAAAGTAGGAGCGGGTGCATATCAATAATGCCAAAACCACCCATCCTAAAATACTCCAATTAGATGTACATTCATCGTAGATTGTTGTACTGTTGGATATCACACCTACTGGTGAAAACTTGGGATCCTCATGGCGCCCAGTTCAGCGTACCAGCCCTCTTTTTCATTCCTGTAGGTCTCCACTCGTCCACCAACTCGACCACTGGCCTCCACGATGGTAACCTTGGTTGATTTTAGAGTTTTAATGATTAAGGAGCCTTAACAATACTTTTATTACTGCAAAAAATAATTAGATTTGACTTTTACAATTGCAGTTGCTACATCACTGGCAGGAATATACTGAAGCCTTTATTACTGCAACGTTTCCAATAAAAGAGCCGATTGTACCACGTCTGCTACTGAATATCATTTATTTAAAGGGACTTTACGGACTTTTGAATTTTTATGCTCGCGATTGCCCCCTCAGGCCAAAAGCGTAATGGCAGCTTCAAAAGTAGGCTCGTGCACAAGGCGTGCATGCTGTACGTGCACACTCCTTAACGAAAATAACAACTGAGACAGTCCTGTGTGTGTGTGTGTGGCCCAGAGGACAGGAGAACACGTAGCTAATTAATTAAATAATGTGGTTCTGTACCTTTCTCTTCAGCACAGCCGACAAATGTTTATGATGGGTCAGTCCTCCTGCATGCTCAGATCATTCCCTTCCCTTGCTTGAAAAATTGTTCCAAAATGAAAGTTGAACCCACATCTTTTTTATCTGTGAATTCAATGCCGTTCGGCGAGTCTCAAATAAAAATTTGGGCATCTTACTGTAAAAAAATGTACCATTAATGTAAAAAAGTAACCCGGGTCTTCTGCACGAGAGTCCAACATCTTACTAGGTGAGCTACACACCTGTAACATTTATATCCTTTATGACAGCTGAAGCAACGTCAAACCAAAGAACGGTTCGGAGCGAAAATGGCTCTTTTGTTGCTAATTTGCAGGAAATATCTAGAAGAAAGTTCTACAGAAAGTAGCTAAGGGTCCTCAGAAATGTAGCTAGCTTTGTCACTAGGCGTTAGGAACAGCGACAAAGTGGCACTACCTCACTCTCTGCTGCTAAAGCTACAGATAGCAAATGCTACGGGCTATGCCTGAGCGTGAACACGCATGAAGCAGCCTGCTCGACCCGAGCAGCTCTCTTTTTCTGTGATTTTACAGAAAAACAGGCAATCACAGTAAAAATGCCAGGGCTCATTCTACAGGACCAGGGCATTGCAGGAGAATGTATGAAGAAGACATTTATTATTTCTATACATGTTTTGGCTGTCAAACTTCCATAATGCCCCTTTAAGACCAAAAGGGTTTGCATTGGTGTTCCAATATAATCTTGTTATGTTTAAGACATGGGTGTCCTTGCTTTTAAAGAGGATGATAGTCAATTTAAAAGTGGTTGCAAGCCTCAAAATATAAGCATTTTTAAAATGAAAAACAAAATACCGTATGCTGAATTAAAACATTTCAAATTAGTCAACAGACTGCAACATTCTAGAAATGGAATTAATGGCCACAAATGGTCCTTGGACAACACTTTCTGATAATTCAGACCATAATAAGGCTGCTGGGTCTACCATGTGTCCTGCGTCTTGTAACAGTTTGGCTGCTGTCAGCCCAGCCATCCCAGCTCCAACAATGACCACATGATGAGAATTTTTAATGTGAGGAAGGCCGTTCTGGATGGTCGGCAGCATATCGTAGAAATCGTCCTCCAAACAGTCAGCCAGATGCTCCTTCAGGCCGGAGGCTGCACCGTGGCTCCGGCGCAACACAAGCAGCAGCAAACTGAAGGTAACTGCAGTCACAATATGAAAGAAACCAAAGCAGTCACCACGATCTGTTTAGTCAGAAACCAGTTAAAACGTAGACTCTTTACCAGGTTGTGTCACCTTTACAGACTCTTAAATAACCAATAAGAACAAAACCATCGCTAAATCACTGGAAGGGGACAGAGTCACATGCTTTCTGTGAAAGTCCAGGAAAAATTCTACTGGTGTAAAAAAATGAAAGTCAAAAAGCAGAAACAGATATCTGGCTGTGGTTTTCCTCAACAGACAGAATGCAAATAAAAGGAAGTGAAAAGCACACACACACTCTCAGAAACTGCACTGAAATAAATCTCAGTTCATCTAAAGAGAAAACATACACACCAGTCCAAGAGGCAGGTCCCTCTCTGCTGTGCCTCAGCTGTTTTCTTCAGAGAAGATTAAGGAGAGGCAGCTTTGTTTGTGTAGCACATTTCAAACACAACGCAAGAACAGCAAACACAATAAATCAAAGAGATAAATGTAGATATTCATTTCAGATTCAACAAACAGATGAAAGGCATAGACTCACAAGGGTAGCAGTTACAGCGCAGAAAGTGCAGCATAACAAACATCCATTCAAAGGCTGATGAATACATGAAGGGTTTTCATGTTGATTTCAACATTTCTAGAGCTGAGGCACATCTGAGGTCATGAGGAAGCTGATTCCATACGTGAGCAGCGTGGTAGCTAAAAGCAGCTTCACCCTGTTTGGTTCTGAGCCGGGGTTCTACCAGCTGACTGCTTCCTAAGGATCTCACAACCCTGCTGGGGTTCTGTAGTTTACTGGTAACCAGTGTAGGGATCTAAGAACAGGAGTGATGTGTTCGATTCTTTTAGTTCTTGTTAAGACTAGAAGCAGCGTTCTGAATAAGCTGCAGTTGCTTCACATCTTGGTGCAATCTTTCATAAACATGGCATCGTGTAACACTTCTTTGCGGACGATGTGCAGATTTACGTCCACTACATCCTCGATGGCCATCGTTTGACAAGTTACTGAATTGTTTAAAAGATGTTAAAATCTGGCTACAGTTGAACGTTCTCACTTTAAATGTCAAAAAGACGGAAATTGTTGTTTTTGGGGACCCTGGGCTGTTGCACGGGGTAAACAGTGTAGTTGGCCCTTTAGAATCCTTTTGCGTGTCTCAGGCAAGAAATCTGGGTTTTTTCATTGACGGCCATTTTAAACTTGATAAACAGATAAGTCCTGTGGTCCAGAGCGTGTCCTTTCATTTGCGTGTTCTTAGTAAAGTCAAGCCCTATTTACCACTCAAAGACTTTGAAAAGGTTATACACCTGCTAATCATGTCGAGACTCGACTACTGCAACTCTCTTTATCATGGACTGGAGCGGTCGTCAATTCACCGCTTGCAGGTGGCTCAGAATGCGGCAGCCCGCTTGCTGACGGGTAGGAGGCGCAGGGATCACATAACACCAGTCTTACAAGCTCTTCACTGGCTCCTGATCACTTACAGGATTCAGTTTAAAGTGCTACTGATCTGTTTTAAGGCACAACACAATTTGGCCCCTCCTTGTCTGTCGGAACTTTTAAACGCTCACGTCCCCAAACGAAACCTCCGATCATCCTCTCTACATCTTTTATCTGTTCCCAAGTCCAGGCTGAAGTCCAGAGGCGACAGAGCCTTTTCTGTGGACGCTCCCGAGCTCTGGAACAGCCTTCCCCTACAGATTAGGTCTGCTGACAGTCTTTCTGCCTTTAAGTCTCTTTTAAAAACCTACCTTTTTACCCTTGCTTTTAACTGATTTTATAGTTACGTAGGGTCTACTGGACGGCTCTCAGTGTTTTATCATTTTATTTTTACTTCTTGTCTGTGTACAGCACTTTGTGCAGTCTCTGATTGTTGGAAATGTGCTTTATAGATAAACTTGACACCGACATCGTTTTTAGGAAGACCAGTTAGGAGACCATTGCAGTAGTCCAGCCTGCTAGAGATGAACACATGGATGAGTTTCTCCAGGTCTCGTGTGGACACGAGACCTCTGAGTCGTGCCATTCGATGGAGATAAAACGATCTAGTTATAGTCTTAATGTAACCAGTGAATCAATGGTAACACCAAGATTTCTAACCTGAGTCTTCAGCTTTATTCGTCTGGAGCCAAGTCGAGCAACAACCTCCATCCTATCCTTCTTATTTCCAAAGACAGTAACTTCAGTCTTGTCTTTGTTTAACTGGAGAAAACCCGACTGCATCCAGTCATTAACTTGCTCCAAACCCTGACAGAGTGAGTCTGGCGGACCAGATTCATTAGGCGATGTTAATTATCATCTTAAAGAGTAAAAAATACAAAATAAAGTTCTAAAATCAAACAGATGAGAACATACTCACATAGTTCCCATTTCATCTCAGTCAGACCCATCCTAGCTTGTATTTTTTTCTTTTCTGGTTCTGTGGGAATAAAAGTATCAGTTAGTTTTGAATGTAAGTCCATCCCATCATAAATGTTATTAGGATTCACCGAAACACAGAATAAATGTAAATTCTGCGTTAAGAAAACAAAAATAAATGTAAACATTTTAGCATGGTTCATAATCCAAAGCTGGTGAAATGAATGCAACCAAAGATCAAAGGGCTCAGATGGAATTCTGTTGTAGTTCTTTTAAAAGCTTTAACAAACACAGAAAACTACAGAAACTCAGTGAATGACATGAGCAGTTAAACCTTCCTACCGTGTGAGGAGTCAACCTCTGCTAGAGGTGTCTGAGGCGTTGCTTTCACTTTGAGCTGCAGCTTGTCAGTAGGACGTGACTGGGAGCTGCAGTTTTTTTATATCTTCCAGAAAACCCAGTCTTATGATCATATGAAGATTAAACTTTCATTTCCATGCATGCCAGTCTGTGAGCCCAACATGGTTTACTTAGTTGTTTTTGACAAACCTCATTCTTGACAGAGATTGCCTCTCTGGGGTAACGACAGTAGAGGTGTAACACCTGATGTACCTGGAGGGTAACACACAGTCAAAACTGCTGGGTTAAAAAAACCCAATTAGGATTGCTCTGTAACCCAAGTGCTAGGTTCTGTTTTCTACCCTAGAAATGGGATAAAATGACCCAACTTTTTCATGAAGTCTAGCCAGAAGTGATTTCAAAATAAAATGCAAAAGTCTGAGTTATTAAATTACTCATACTTGCTTTAAAATGACTCAATTCTACAATAAAATATGAAATGAATGATTAAATGAGCAAGAAAATGAATATTTATTAAAAAGTCATGTCTCATACATTTTCATACTGACCAGTTAAATCATCATCAGTGACCCTGAGAGACTGAAGGGCGCTTACCAAAAAGTATTATTATTATTATTAATATTATTAATTATTATTGTTGTTATTACTAAATATTATTATTAATATTTTTAATATTAATTATTAACCATATTAATAATAATTAATAATAATAATAATTATTATTATTATTCGTCGTCGTCGTCTTCCTCCGCTTATCCGGGTCCGGGTCGCGGGGGCAGCATCCCAATTAGGGAGCTCCAGGCCGTCCTCTCCCCGGCCTTGTCCACCAGCTCCTCCGGCAGGACCCCAAGGCGTTCCCGGACCAGATTGGAGATGTAACCTCTCCAACGTGTCCTGGGTCGACCCGGGGGCCTTCTGCCGGCAGGACATGCCCGAAACACCTCCCCGGGGAGGCGTCCAGGAGGCATCCTGACCAGATGCCCAAACCACCTCAACTGGCTCCTTTCGATCCGGAGGAGCAGCGGTTCTACTCCGAGTCCCTCCCGAAAGTCCGAGCTCCTCACCCTATCTCTAAGGCTGAGCCCGGCCACCCTACGGAGGAAACTCATTTCGGCCGCTTGTATCCGCGATCTCGTTCTTTCGGTCATTACCCAAAGCTCATGACCATAGGTGAGGATTGGGACGTAGATCGACCGGTAAATCGAGAGCCTGGCTTTCTGGCTCAGCTCCCTCTTCACCACGACAGATCGGCTCAGCATCCGCATCACTGCAGATGCCGAACCAATCCGCCTGTCGATCTCCCGATCCCTCCTACCCTCACTCGTGAACAAGACCCCGAGATACTTAAACTCCTCCACTTGAGGTAGGACCTCTCCCCCGACCCGGAGGTGGCAAGCCACCCTTTTCCGGTCGAGAACCATGGTCTCAGATTTGGAGGTGCTGATCCTCATCCCAGCCGCTTCACATTCGGCCGCGAACCTACCCAGCAAGAGCTGAAGGTCAGAGCTGGATGAAGCTAGGAGGACCACATCATCCGCAAAAAGCAGAGACGAGATTCTCCTGCCACCAAACTCGACACACTCCACACCACGGCTGCGTCTAGAAATTCTGTCCATAAAAGTGATGAACAGAACCGGTGACAAAGGGCAGCCCTGGCGGAGTCCAACCCTCACTGGGAACAGGTCCGACTTACTACCGGCTATGCGGACCAAACTCACGCTCCTCTGGTAAAGGGGCTGAATGGCCCTTAACAGAAAGCCACCCACCCCATACTCCTGGAGCGTCCCCCACAGGGTGCCCCTGGGGACACGGTCATAAGCCTTCTCCAAATCCACAAAACACACGTGGATTGGTTGGGCAAACTCCCATGCCCCCTCCATCACCCTTGCAAGGGTATAGAGCTGGTCCACAGTTCCACGGCCAGGACGAAAACCACATTGCTCCTCCTCTATCTGAGATTCAACTATCGATCGGACCCTCCTCTCCAGTACCTTGGCATAGACCTTTCCAGGGAGGCTGAGGAGTGTGATCCCCCTATAGTTGGAACACACCCTCAGGTCACCCTTCTTAAAGATGGGGACCACCACCCCGGTCTGCCACTCCCTAGGAACTGCCCCCGATGACCACGCAATGTTGCAGAGACGTGTCAACCATGACAGCCCTACAACATCCATAGCCTTAAGATAGCCAGGACGAACCTCATCCGCCCTCGGGGCTCCGCCGCTGTGTAGTTGTTTGACTACCTCAGCAACTTCTGCCCCTGAGATCGGACAGTCCATCCCCAGGCCTCCCAGCTCTGGTTCCTCCTCGGAATGCGCATTGGTGGGATTGAGGAGCTCCTCAAAGTATTCCTTCCACCGTCCGACTATAGCCTCAGTTGACGTCAGCAGCTCCCCATCCCCACTGTAAACAGTGTGAGCGAGTTGCTGCCTTCCTCTCCTGAGGCGCCGGACAGTTTGCCAGAACCTCTTTGGAGCCGATCGATAGTCTTTCTCCATGGCCTCACCAAACTCCTCCCACGCCCGAGATTTTGCCTCGGCAACTGCCACTGCTGCACCCCGCTTGGCTATCCGGTACCTGTCTGCTGCCTCCGGAGACCCACAGACCAGCCACGCCCTGTAGGCCTCCTTCTTCAGCCTGACGGCTCCCCGAACCTCTGGTGTCCACCAGCGGGTACGGGGGTTGCCACCACGACTGGCACCGGCCACCTTACGACCACAGCTAGCAACAGCCGCCTCGACAATCGCAGAGTGGAACAAGGCCCACTCGGACTCAATGTCCCCCACTGCTCTCGGGACGTGGTCAAAGCTCTGCCGGAGGTGGGAGTTGAAGACCGTCTTGACAGGTTCTTCTGCCAGGCGTTCCCAGCAGACCCTCACTATGCGTTTGGGTCTGCCAGGTCTATGCGGCATGTTCCCTTGCCATCTGATCCAACTCACCACCAGGTGGTGATCAGTTGACAGCTCCGCCCCTCTCTTCACTCGGGTGTCCAAAACATACGGCCGCAGGTCAGATGATACGACTACAAAATCGATCATTGACCTGTGACCTAGGCTGCCCTGGTACCAAGTGTACCGGTGGGCATCCTTATGTTCGAACATGGTGTTCGTTATGGCCAAACTGCGGCTTGCACAGAAGTCCAATAACAAAACACCGCTCGAGTTCAGATTAGGTGGGCCGTTCCTCCCAATCACACCCCTCCAGGTCAGGCTGTCATTGCCCACGTGAGCATTGAAGTCCCCCAGCAGGACAATGGAGTCCCCTGATGGAGCACTATCTAGCACTCGTCCCAGGGACTCCAAAAAGGGTGGGTAGTCTGAACTGATATTTGGCCCATAAGCACAAACAACAGTCAGGACCCGTTCCCCGACCCGAAGGCGCAAGGAAGCTACCCTCTTGTCCCCCGGGGTAAACCCCAACACACAGGCAGAGAGTCTCGGGGCTAACAAAAAGCCAACCCCAGCCCTCCGCCTCTCACCCGGAGCAACTCCAGCAAAGTAGAGTGTCCAACCCCTCTCCAGGTCTCGGGTTCCAGAGCCAATGCAATGTGTCGAGGTGAGTCCGACTATATCTAGCCGGTACCGCTCAACCTCTGCCACAAGCTCCGTCTCCTTCCCCGCCAGCGAGGTGACGTTCCATGTCCCAAAAACTAGTTTTCTTGTCCGGGGATTTGACCGCCAAGGCTCCCGCCTTGGTCTGCCACCCGATTCGCATTGCACCGGACCCTTCATGTTCCTCCTGCGGGTGGTGGGTCCACAGTTGGACGAGCCCATGTATCCGGTTCGGGCTGGGCCTGGCCGGGCCATATGGGCGAAAGCCCGGCCACCAGGCGCTCGCTCACGGGCCCCAACCCCAGGCCTGGCTCCAGGGTGGGACCCCGGTAACCCTCCGGGCCGGGTACTCCGACTCTTCGTTTTAACCGCCATGAAAGATCCTTCGAACCGTTCTTTGTCTCACCCTTCACCTAAGACCAATTTGTCATGGGAGACCCTACCAGGGGCACTAAGTGCCCCAGACAACATAGCTCCTAGGATCATTAGGGCACTCAAACTCCTCCACCACGATAAGGTGACGGTTCAAGGAGGAGATAATAATTATTATTAATTATTATTATTATTATTAATATCTTAATTTTGTTTGTCGTTAGCCTTAAGGGCAACCTGCTGGCTTCATTATTACCTGTAAGTGGCTTTGGACAAAGCGTCTGCTAAATAAAAGTAAACATAATTCTATTTAAAGTACAAAGATGAAGAAAAATGTCCTTTTGCTCCTCAGATGAGCCGCAGATGGCGTGACTGACGTGTGACTCAGGTCAGGTCATCTGATGAGAGGAGACTCCAGGTCACGTGTGAGGCAGGAAAGTCCAGAAACAAAAGGATTTCATGATTAAAGTGGTGAAAACGGAACAGTAAAAGCAGAAGAATGAGTTTCTATTGAGTCAGAAATCCGATTCACTCATTCACCCACACCTCCACGTGTTCCTGTGAACAAAGCTATCTATTTATTTATCTGTGTCACATATTAGAGCATGCAGAAGGAAACATCAAGCGTTTCGTATAAAAGGCACCAAAACAACAACCCGAGGAATGACCCCGGTTCTTCTCCAGCAGCATCCAACGGAACCCAAAGAACTTCCTTCAAACCTTCACAATAAGAGTCGTTACCTTGCAAACATGAAACCCCCTGAAGCAGAAGAAGGTTTGTTGTCCTCTGGCGTATGCTGTAAATTCCACACTTCCTCTGTTCGCTCCTGCTTCTGATTGCCCCTCAGAGGCTGCCGTAGATCTGGTCAAAATCAGCGCTTATTTCCTTGTTCTGAATTCTCAGACTGGTTCAACTCTTTGTTTAGGAAACTTCTGGTTTCTCCACAGCTCAGATTCTGACCCTGGTTTGAAATGAACTCAAAAATGATAAACAACAAATACATTTTTTAGATCTGATTGAAAAGTAGCAGATATTTATAAAGCTACATT